CCCGCCGATGGCTAGAGCCATCGGTTGAGGTGGCGCCACAGATGGCTGCCATTGGTTCTGTACCGGAAACTAATTCCTTGTGTGTAACATATTTGGCCAATAAAGGTGATTATCCTTATCCTTATCCTTAGAGATGGCAAGTGTGTGTATGGATAACCTTCAGCGATCTCTCAGTTTTGGTGGTCGCCGTAACATTCCCTCACATGTTGAGATGGAAGCCATCCTGGTAAGTTAGCCTACACACAGAAAGCAACTCTTTCACAGTGTCATCATTATCTGCATGATGAGTGTGTTGTGGTTTCCTGCAGGCTGGCCGAACTTCTCGTCGGATTCCTATCCACCTGCCAGGAGGAGTAGAGTACCCCACTAAGATGCACAGCTTCAGTGTAAGATTTAGTTATATTGTCACCACTTTGCTTTGAATAAACCAGCAGCCTTTAGGTCTCTGATTCATGTCTCTGTAGTTATGTTGTTTTTTTTCTTCTTCCAGATGGCAGCCGATGTGGTAGCAGACATCTGTAAAAAAATGGGCATTTCAAATACCACCGAAATGAAAGATTTTTTCATCTTCGCCAACAGAGTTCCAGGTAAATTAGATTAACACTCAAAGTGAAATAGTAAACAAAGTTAGACTCATTAATTAATTTCTAGATGTAATCAAAAGCTTTGTTCTGCTTGATTTCAATATACTGTAAAACACCTTTTTGGATGTACAGTATGTCTTTTTCCTACTATGTGCCTGCCTTTACTACTTGGTCTTCCTCTACAGTTTGCTTCAGTGTTTTTTCCACTCAAATAAAGGTGAAATTCACTGAAATGAATGTATTTATCAGACACATGATAAACTTTAAAGGGTCAGATCACCCAAATTACCTAAACAGAATATACATATATTCATTTACCTATAATAATATCTAGTCAGAGCTGCTGCAGGAGGGGTGCAAGGCCCCATGCAAACTTGGCAGAAAGGCTTTATACAGGCTTACAGGCTGCACTTATCTCAAATATGAGACCTTGACCCAAGAAGGAATAATTGCTCTGATTTTTTGTGTGATCTTTATTGTTATTAGACAGATAGGAAATGTATGTTAAGTGAAGAAAAAAAGCAGCCTGCCATGGTACACAGGAAGAAGAAAAGGACTGTTTGACTCCATATACCACATTTTAGGATAAATAATTATGCCATGAACAAGAACACCTCAAACCTGCACTAATTATGATGATAGAGAATGACAGAGACAAGATGGCACCGTTGTATTTGCCCTGCCACCTGCTCCTCCTTTGTGTTTTTAGTTTTGTTATATTTGACACTGCTTCCCTTTTCTCTGTATTGGTATATGATCGCCTGACTCTTTTAGAAATACGTAACTCAATGTTTAGTCCTCCTAGTATTCACCGAGGCTATCAATCTAAGCTACCACCACCTCGACTAGCGTCCATACCTCCTTTCCTTCGACACTCGGCTGGCCCTCTCTCGGGCAAATTTCAGCTGAAGCGACGCAGCAGGAGAGCTGGACTCCATGTTAAGCTGAAATCTTGCCTGAGTTCATCAGTGTGGACTGACCACCTCCTGGAGTATGGTAACCTTGATCCAAGCAGGACCCTGATCTACAATTATTGCTCTCTTCAAACGGTTGGCTCAGACGTCAACCCTCCTCGCCCATGCTGCTGGCTTGTGACACACTCGGACAGGCGTTGCTCTCAAGCCAACCTTCGCCCAGTGGCTCAGGCCGGCCTCCTTCAGGATAGGCCAAGCCCGCTTCACTTTGCTCTCTTTATGGCAAGATCACTTAAAAACAAAACTTTCATTCTTAATGATTTTATTTCTTCGTACGATCATTGGTAGAGGCGGCGGCTTGGCATCTGTTTTTAAGCCAACCCTAAAATGTTGCCTTCTCCCGTCCAAGGCTTACTCCAGCTTTGAGCTACAAATTTTATTGTACCGCTGCACTTAGTGCTGTGCCGATAAATGATATAATATCGAATCGCAATAAAATCGATATCAATAACGATGATAAGCTCTCGGCATTTTTACTCGATATGGATTTGTAAGAGCCAATCACACAGCAGCAATATGCGACAACAGCCAATCAACATGCAGCTTTAAACATGCACCTCAGAGAACAAAGTTAGCTAATTTCCTACGGCACTTTGCAAAACACGCTGGAGATGAGGACGGCAAAAATGAGTGAAAGCAGTGGCGAAAGTGAGACAAATATCGAGCAAGTAGTCAAAAATGATGAAATTGTCAACAAACAAGGTAGCACAATTTCGGTTATATGGAAGTGGTTTGGCTTTTTGAAGAGCGACAAGGCACAGATTCAAATGAACTGTAAAATATGTCATAGCCCGGTCAAAACCAAAACTGGTAACACAACCAACCTATTCCATCACCTAAAAAAGTGTCATCCCAGTGAACACACTGAAAGCATGAAAATGCGGGCTGATGCTAATGTTACTCCATCAACAAGTAGAGATAGCAGCGGGGCTGTACCAAAGCAGAAATCGATCGCGTCATCCTTTGTGGCCATTACTCCTTATGAAGTGAGTTCCAAAAGGAGCAAGGATATAACGAGAGCCGTTTAATTCTTTCTGGCGAAATACATGATGCCCCTAAACACAGTGGAGCACGATGGTTTTATGAAATTAATTAAAGTGCTTGACTCCAGGTACGAACTTCCGGGCAGAAAATACTTCTCCAAAACTCCACTGCCCAAGCTTTACGAAGAGTGCCGTGGAAAGCTGGAAAA